TTAAATGATTCTTTTCATGACAAAAACCTAAGAACTTGAACTTAATCATGAGAAAATAATTCATTTCAGGTTTCATTGTATTGACTGAAAATGATTGATTTTTTTAAAAGTGATTTATTTAAGGTTTTTAAATATCTTGAACTTTAGCCGTAATAACGTGTGTAAAATATCAATACACTGAAAAAAATTGTCAGTTTTTGCATTTTGTCTGCTTCAGGTAAACAGCCTATATGACTGTCTATAGGAATATAACTAACGTATAAACAGGTTTACCAGTTGCAGTACATTTAACCTTTTTTCGTTTTTTTTTGACATTCTAGCCTAATTTTCATCTATTTTTTTCATTCGGCCGGGAGCGTATTTTTTTATTTTAGTTTCGTTGATCTTTAATATAACATTTAATGTTTTGTTTGAAATATTTGGTTTTACTTTTTGACAATTTACTTAATGAGTTTTGTATTTAATTCTGCTTACCCTCTTCTTATTGTCTAAATAATGTATTAAAAAAAATCCTGAAGCTATTTTGACCCAAACGAAACTTTTGAAAAATACTTTCACTTACACCTATGCAAATACTCCCTTTAAGTTTTTTTTTTTTTTTTTTCGGATAAATTTCTCTTTATTATACAATATAACTGATTCGATAATTTAAGTTTTGTGATAAATTATTAACAGCAAGAGCTAAAATCAATTCTATTATATTCTATTACTGCTGAAAATTTTTTAAAATGTTGATATTTACAGATTTTACAATTACGAAATGTTGAAAGAATACATTTCTCTAGCTTTAAATTATTTCCATTTTTACAACTTGGAATTAGAAATAGGCCTCCATTTTATTGCGAATGTCATAATAACATTTTAGTTTGGCAATGTTAGCACAATTAATTTATATATACTGGATTTTTTTAATAATATATATTAATTTATATATACTAGATTGTTGATGTCATTGATGTTATTAATATATTCCATGCTTAAAATCAGTAGCAAGTCCAATCATGATAAGAAATGCCAATTTTAAAGAAATTAAATTTCTGTTAGATCATTGCAAAAGTTCGTACCCGATTAGAAAGTTAAAAACAAAATTTTACATAGTCTTATGACAAAAAAAAAAATCATTTATTTGTCATGTACATAATCTCCCATCGTACTACATGCTTGTTGATGGCATTTGGGGAGAGACTTCATATTTTTTGCTAGTTGTGATTATTTTATCCAGTCAAATGTTTCGTCATTTAAATTATTCTGTAGAGATCGGAACAAATGAAAATACAAATGAGCCAAGTCAGTAGAATACGGTAAGTGCTGGAAGGTTTCTCATTTCAACTCTAAGTTTCTGCAAGGTCTGCTTTGCAACATGCTGTCTTGTATTGTCGTGGTGGAAAACGACACCTTTTCGATTTGCCAAAATGGGTCGTTTCTCTTGAACACAAGTCTTTTCAAATGACGATTTTGAAACTTTTTAGCAACCTCCCCCGTCGGAAGTTCCGGTTTATTTGCCATGATGGCAAACGGGGCCTGGTTGATCATTTAGGTTAAAATCACCCTGACGAAATCTGCCAAACCCCATTTGACAGTCCGATGAGCTGGAAATAAATAAAAATAGACCATCTGAATGGGCCGAGGCTTATTCTATTCCGAAATCCATAGAGCATAATATGACAAATGTTCAACTTTTCATCTTCCATCTTTAAGTAATTCATTTGTGGACAAAACATCAACTTTCAAAAAAAGTCAGGTTCGGAAATTAGCGATGAAAGGTTTCTGTCTAGAACACAGCAGAAATCAGCACTAAAACAAACGCACGTATAAAGTCGCTTTCATTTTATATTAAGAATGAAAATCGGCTACGAACTATTGCAATGATCTCTTAATATCACAAACACTGAACATATAAGTTATAATAACTAGTAAATTAAAACGTACTATCGAAAAATTTAAGTCCTAATATTTTTAAATGAAGGCTCGTTATTATGAGTCAGGTGAGAGAAAGAAACGTTATCTCCCATAGAGAGTCCAATTCCCTCCATTAAAATACTTCACTTGTCAAGTGAATGATAGCAATCATATCAGTAACCATGCGCTGTTCTAAATGATGTAATCTAGCAGGACATTAAGTGTTTCTCAGGATGAAAAAAGAACAGTAAAGTTTATTTATTTATAGCATTTTTATCTATTCTTGCCTATTAAAATCTTCATGTTCAGTTTTTGTATTTGTAAAATGCGTGTTATCTACGTGGAATATATATGCATAAATATTTCAATACAAAATACAATCAGTATTTTCTTAAACTAACGACAATCTGAATTAAGAAATTTGAACTAACTGGCCTAACTCGTTCTCTGTTTTGAATCGAATTTTCAATTTGTACATTCCTGATCGAATGATCTGATTCGATATGGATTGAAGTATTCTTAATCAAATACAAAGGATGACTTTCCCCAAATATAATCACGAATTTTCGAGGGTGAATATTTTGAGCGTTATAAATCGTGTATAAGCCAAAAGGAGATAATTCGTAAAAAAAACACGTTTCATGTTGATTTTGCCGGTAATGTCTTTTTATAAAAATCGTCTCATGACAATGTAATGATATTTTAAAGAAATTCGCTGCTTTTCGCTATCAGACTAGCATTTTTTAAATTAAATCGACACCTTTCACTACAAAGATGAAAAAATTAAATTTAGAGAAATACGTTTTGCCAAAAATTAAGCCTATAAAATATTTCTGACGTGCCTATTTCCTCCTGTTAAGCAGTTTTGCATTTTTACTTTAAATGCGGCTTAGTTTTGCAGAAGTTCAAAATTGCGGAAACAGGATGCAAGAAAACGGTGTGATGCCAATTCTCAGATGAGAGCATGGCAGACATTGGCAGATCAGTTTTCGGAAGCCAGGCTTGTGCCTTGACTTCAACACCGATCACGTGCACTGGCAGAAGATACTCGACTGTCAAACCCACGAGACAAGCCACTATAACTATTTACCAAACCTGTCAATTCTTGAACAAGGCTACATGTGTGGGGCCCTCATTAGAAATCGAGCTTAATATGGTTTACTGATCGGCTGCTTTTCAAGACCTAATGTGACTAAATACTTGAAATTTAACTGTTTGATGATTACTGGGCTTTCATTTTTACAAGGATGTTTACTCTGTACAAGGCTCAAGAGCCACTCGAAGTACGGGGTTACAGATTAAGTGGCACGGTTTATGCGGATCTGTTGGAAAGATAACAGTTAACCGTATACTTGAATAGGTTAAGATTGTAGTGATCGGGAAAGCATTCTCTTTGGGAGTCAGTTACACAAAGCAGCGGTACGTGGAAAGAAGTTGCTTAAATGGAACTTACATCTCTCCAGTGGAATATTAAGAAAATGACGGCGGTTTTCTACAATGTTCGTGGCATGGCGGGTCTCCGCAGTGGAGTTTAGAACTGGTGTTACTGATGAATGTATTTCGTCTGAATGCTTTCGCTAGAACTGCGAGAGGTATACGACGTTTCCTTAAAAGGAAAGGAATTGTAGGGTGGAAAATAATTCATCACCTAGAAGGACACAGAGAAGCTTTTGAAATTTATGGAGACTGGAAAGTGAAGATTGGGTAGTTCATGATAGCACTACTCAATTTTCGGCCTGATCTGGCTTTTGTAAAAGTAGAAGTCACGTACTTACTGGATCAGTAGAGGGAACCGACCATTGTTCCTGTAGCTTTAGTCATAGATCATACGCTCAGGTTCCGTTTGAGGTGTGGTTTGAGTTCCTCCTAATAGGCGTTCAAGACACTGGAACGCTCTAATAGAACACCCGTTCATCGCGTTCGGTGGAAATCCAGAGCAAAATAAGATGGACATATTTGGACTACTAATGAGAAGCAATAACAGCAAAATTTAATGACTTTCAAGTGTAACTTCTTCAAGTCTGATATGCCCAGGACTAGACAAGTTCATTAACTATTGCTTTTTGCTAAGGCTCCCTCGTCTAAATGGTATTAATTGTCGGGGACGACGGGATGATATAAATCGTGGTGTCCAGTTTCAAACCCGGTCTCTGATTAGTAACTTAATTTCTTTTTAATACTTTTCGGGTGAGCATTTATCCCTCCGTGATTTAATACCTTGATGTGGTGGAGTAATTTGCGTAATCTTATGACTCCGAGAGTTATACTCGTAGGAGTTCAGCTTAGACATACAGATTAATGGTTAAGAGTTAGACAGTTTTCGTAACGTAGATGTGCAAATCTGAAACGGTCTGCAGCTCCTCAATTACATGGATAGGCAAGCATCAACAAACTGATACATTGGTTTGATATAGAGGGATTAATGATGGATGATAAGCGACACAATCGACTACAATGGTATAAAAAAAGCAAATCTAGTTAACTGAATGCTGCAGTTAGACGTAGAGTTACTATTACAGAATGGTAATTACAATGTGTGAAAGCAATTGTAAAAAAGGCATGTCTAGTAAACCCAGTTTTTTATCCCATATCGTTCCTCCCTTTGACAGAGAGGAATTAAAGAAACTAGAGGCTGTTTGAGTTTGCTCGAAGTAGAAGATTTATCATAAAACAAAGCCAATCATAAGAACTCAGTTTTGAAACATGGGGACCATGATGTCATGTATACAAGTTCTTCACAATCGAAATTCTTATTTGTTAGAAATGAAAAACAACTATTAATATCGTGTTTACTATCTTCGAATAAGCTTGTCAGTGAAAGTTGCTGATTTCATCTGAAAAAAATGGCATCTTGATAGTGAAAGCAAAAAATAAATTTATTAATGTTGGTGAGTTCATATTTTTATGATTAAATGATTCATTATCCATTCACAGATTAGGACGATGAAAGGCGATCGCTTCACGTTATATAATTCTTTCTACAAAAATTACTTATACATCCTTTTCAAGAAAAATAACTGCAACACGTGACTGTTTTTTTTTCGTTTTTTTTTTTTATATTAAACCTTGTTGCCTAATATTCATGTCAATTACCGTTACAGGACAGCATCTACCTTTTGGATAGAGGACAAAATATCAACAAAAGGCCGAACATTGTTTACATCTCGATCGATGGAGGAAACAATTGGATCCCTTTACATTCATTTGTTGATGTAAGACGATTACATTTCTTTGATTGCTATGAGTGAAAGCAACATTATCTGATGGTGGGAATACAGACGATAAACAATTTCCTTTCATCATCCGACACATATACATACAAACCTACATTCACACACGCACGCACACACACACGTGTGTGGGTGTGTGTGGGGGGCGTCTTTTCAGCACAAATATATCTTTTATAAAAGTTTCATTGAAGATGAATGGCAAGGCACTGCGATTAAACTTTTTATTAAATTTTTCCTGCACTCGTACAAGTGATTTATTTCCTGGACATAATATGTAAAATCTATCAAAATAATCTTTGGATCTGAGCGTTTCGGTTTAATCTATTAGTCATTATCAAGGATCTTTTTTTGTTTAACTGAATATGTTGATTTTTTATATATAGGGGTTGGAATGTTTTTTAATTTTCGAACAGGGTCAGCACGTTGTGACCGTGTTTATAGTTACTATTGTGAGTTGGATTTTTTTATTATTATTAACGTTTCAATATATATATATATATATATATATATATATATATATATATATATACCTGTGTGTGTAAAAAAACTTGATATCAGTCATTAAAAAAGGAAATTCATTTTTCGAAATTGATATCCTGAGAATATGACAGTTACAAGGTAAGATTTTATAAGTAAGCAAATCTATATCTGGAGGCCGGTTATAAACGGAAATCACCGTGGTTAAATAGGTGTTGTAACCTAGAAAAGGTTACTGAATGAGGAATAACCAAAACGGAGGTTAGAAATGAAATAGTAATCTTTATAATATCAACAAAATACAATACTCGCCAGCGGCGTGACGTAGATAAACCACTGTTAGTAGCATATACTAAGCATATTACCCCTACTTACAATAGTGTCCAACGTATTTATGAAGATTGAGACATATCCATTTTTGTTCATAGGTATGGTATATAACACTCACCTTTTTAGATTTACTCTACACAGTCAATATCTTTTCGGGTTAATGTTGATTCTCTTTGTATCCCTTCTTTTCCTCTTATTTTCTCTTTTTTGGATTTTTGTCTAAGGAGCTTTCCGGGGAATAGGCACATCAAATGTGTCAAAAAGAACTTCCATAAGCTCAACATTCACTGGAGTATCGTTCTACCTACATTTTGTTTGATTCAAGTGCATTTTGTACGCCATTTTCGGTCCTTTGACCAAATTTCTCATCCTCGTCGCCAAAATGTTGTAACCTAGAAAAGGTTACTAAATGAGGAATAACTAAAACGGAGGTTGGAAATGAAATGATAATCTTTATAACATCAACAATATGCAATACTCGCCAGCGGCGTGAAGTAGGTAAACAACTGATAGTGGTGGACTACTTAGACAGCATATTACTCCAACTTATAGCAGTGTCCAACGTATTTATGATGATTGGGACATACGTATTAGTGTTCATAGGTACGGTATATAACAATAGGGTAAATTACAAGTAACTCAGGAAAGGTTTAATGAAGTTATGTTGGATTTTATAAGTAAGCAAATCTATATCCAGTGGCCGCTAAGAATGACAATTGTTGTTATAATTTATCAACTAGAGTAAACAAGTGACTAATAAACGGATTAACTACGTTATTAGTTACTAGGTTAGATTTTATAAGTATGTGAATTTATAACTAGTGGTATGTTAGAATGGGAATTAATTTGATAAGTTAATGCGAATAGCATTTAATTGCACTAAGTTGAGTTCACATTTGAAAATAACGGAAATTGAGCTCATGATTTAACAGTTTATTTTTATGATCTGGTAAAATAAAGAGCATGCATTCTTCACTTTACTCGCCATTAGAAAAAACTGAAATCAAACAGCCCTGGTAAAAAAATCTTAGCCGGAATCTGGCATAAGAATATTGCGATATATATGGCATGGCTGGACAAACTACGGCTCGCGAGCCACATGTGGCTTTTTGACCGTTAATAAGCGTCTCTTTGAAATATGTTGACTGAACCCCTTTTTTTTTCTAACTGTCAATATTTAAGGTAAATAAGCTAAATTTCAAACTTTATAATTAATTACTGCGTATGCATTGAGACCCCATTGGATTAAAACATAAATTTAATGTTCATGTGTATATAATAAAAACGTATATGTAAATTTTGTTCATATCTATCGGCTCTCAACATCTGAAGTTAATCGTATGTGGCTCTTACATTAAGCAAGTTTGGCGACGCCTAATATATGGAGTTAACAGTTAGGCCGACTCTGCTAGTATGCGACCTGAGGTCGACGTCACCAAATCACTTTTGATCATGTTGTGCTTATCTGTAAATAGGCTTATAAATCGACATCTAAAAGAAACGTCTTTTCCCATAGATAGAGGGAACTACACTGGTCGTCAGCAGTCTTCCATAGGTACAATCGAAATGCACCAGGGTAGTTGACATCACTACCTGACTTTGCTATCTACTTCATCCCTAACCTTGTTAGATATTTCCTGCAAAGAATTTGGTCAACAGAAGACATTTTCCCCCCAGTCAAAGAGATTTTCGTTTGCAGACTGATTGGAAATGTTAGAGGCCAGGTTTTAAAAACCAACTTTCTGTAAATCTGATACAAATATTCTCTGATTGAATTAACTATCTGTAGTTTAATATAATTGGCATGAGTAAAATGATTATATGGAAAACTAAGTGAATATTGAAGCAACAGTAAAGGAAAATTAATTTCTTGAATTCAAATATCTTGTAAGTTCACCATTTAATATGCTTATTAAGCAATGAAAAATTTCCTTTGATTTTCAAAAAGAGCAAAACTTCAGAATGCGAAATGTCTATTTTGACAGACTACATTTATCATCGTCAAAAAATAATCATATTTGTTATTTCAATTTCTTTTCATTGTTTTCTTTTGGTTTTCCTTTCTTTGTAGTCTGAAAGTCCGATTTATATCGAGGAGAAATACATGTTTTTAATGCACCAATTGGATCTGTTTAAAGCCCTCAGCTATGTAAGTATTTTTGTTTATCATCTTCTCAGTTTCACTTACGTTACGTTGACTTTAAAACTACTGTAAATGATAGAAAATAATAACTTCCTTTTATAGTAAAACCTTTTCCTCTAGACAACTCTAAAAAAATTTATTTATCAACAAAAACATTTAAAGTTAAATATATATCAATAAGTGTTGCTTTAATTTCTGACAATTGACAATGCATTCAGTGAATTTCTCTAGTAAACTAAGCATAACTATTATTGTAATGCAATTCTATAGAAAAATCCTTAGCAATACACTTTCTTCAGGTGTATTATAACTCTATACCTTCTGTAATGTTTGTTTTTTGTCATCTTTCCATCATTTCCCCCTACCAAAAAGAAAATGGATGTACAAGCAAACTGAAAATCTGAAAATACACTTTATGTCTTTTTGAGACAGTGGCGTAGTGAATATAAATATTATTTGGTTAAGTCTTCTAGTTTCCGTTAGTTCAATCCTTTGATCAAATAGTGAGACAGCTCACTCTAGTTTAGAAAGATCAAGAAAAGTTGGAGATCCTGGGAGAATTATAATACAGATAAGTTACCCCATAGACCCAAAATAACTTGCCCTTGAAGATGACCGGAGAGTACTTAGAAGAAATGTCGTATCTCTAATAACGTCTATAACAACAACAAAGGAGAACAATAGTTCGAATAACTGAAAGTATTTTTTAGAGAATGCTAGCAATATTTAATGTTTAATTGTTAAATTTAATTCCTTACACCTAGAATTCCTGGTGATACATTAAATCGTACGAGTTAATGAAAATTTTGACGTTTTCCTTTTATGAAACCTACCCTATGATTTTATGAAACCTACCCTATATATATATATATATATATATATATATATATATATATATATATATATATATATATTCACCCCAAGCAAGGCGGGAATGCCACTAGTACGCAAGGGGTTACAGAGAATAGGAGAAAGAGTAAAGAGGCGTGAAGGAGGAAATGATGAAGAGAAGGACGGGGAAATACATCAAGACATCTGGAGATGTCGATGGTGAATTTGAATTTGAATAGTTGGAAATTATAGCTATCAAGAAAGCAAGTAAGCGGAAGGGAGTTTCACAGACGGGAAGTGTGAGACATGAAGCAATTGGGATAGAAGAGATGGCTACATTTAACGGTTTCGACGGTGAAAGGGTGGGACTGAGACGCCGATCTAGTGGCACGTTTAAATTCATGCAGTTTAGGAACAAGTGAAAATAGCTCGTCGGATCAGTTACCGTGGAAGTATTTGTACAAAAGACAGGGAGGCTGTGAGAGAGCGACTGTAAACGAGGTGCCAGATTAGAGCCAACCACAGAAAAACTTTCAGGCGCAACACAGAGAACCAACTTTCCTTGAGGTGGAGTTGAGCATCAGACATTCTAATGGGAGGTAGGGAGGGTTCGATCTGGTGGGTAAAAGTGAGCAGTTTTGTTTTGAGGCATTAAAGTTAACCAGCCATTTCCTGATCCAGTCAACAACCAATTGGAGGTCCTTTTCGACACCAAATGCCAGGTTAGCTTTGTCAGTGATAGCAGATTTGCTATTTAGGCAGGAATAAATAGATGCATACTTGGGAACTGATGAAATCGGGAAGATTGTTAATGAAAATAAAGAACAGTGTAGAACCCAGAATAGAGCCTTGGGGAACACCAGCGTTCGTGAGAAACGAACTCGCGAAGATTTGGTTGAGGACGATCTTCATTATACGGTTTGACAGGAATTATTGCATTAAATCAATCGTCCTGAAATACTTATCCTTGAAGCTTACGAAGAAGGCCGGCATGCCAAACCCTATCAAACGATTTAGAGATATCTAGAGCCACGACACGAACTTCTCCGTTATTGGGAAGTGCTTGGTAAATAAATTCAGTTATGGCCTTGAGAACATCAGCTGTTGACTGGGCAAAGCGGAAACCATATTACTTGTCAGAGAGCACATCATGGGATGTAAGGCCCTTAACCACTTCGGTGTTGATTAAAGCTTCAAAGACTTTGCTGAAGAGTGGTAGGAAACTGATAAGAAGGTAGTTAGATGGGTCAGATAGGTCGCCAGAGTTCTTCAAGACAGGTACAACAGATGAAGACTTCCAACATGGTTGAAAGCAGGAGTTGTGGAAGCAACAGTTATATAGACAGAAGCCAGTTCATGAGGACATTTCTTCAGGACAATGGCTGGTATCCCGTCCCCACCGCTAGTCTTATGGGAGTCTAATTTAGAGATAATGCCCAATACCAATGATGGGATTATGTGCAACTGGCTCAACAGAGCCTCAGTTTTAGAGGGGAAATCGGGTGTGGGTACATCGGACGAGATACACTTGTGTATAAGCCTATTTCATGTTGTTATGGTGGAACACACCTATTCTACAGTTAATAGACTCTCCCACCTATAATAAGTAGGAGTAGTAAGAGTAATGAGTCAGTCGGTCAGTCGATGTCGGACGACAGTTAGTCGAATACGAAAATATCAGCGACCACAACTAGATTACTCTGCGTAATACCTATTATATCAAGTTCCTAACGTTTTGTACGTCGGACCTATTTTAGGACCGATTTAGTACAAATACAAGCCTCCACTGTAAAATCACTCCACAACACATGTACAGTGCGACCTCTGAACTTATTGTTTGACTGCTTTTGTTTAGCGGCATATCTACCTTAAATATGTTGAAAGCAATTCAACTTCAACTAAATATATTTTGAACCCAATTGCATGCCTTCAACTACAGATAAAATGTATTGGTGGTCATTTTGCTATAAAATATGTATGTTTTATATTTTCATAGTGTTTTGTTTTAGTTTGTGGGTTCACTATTTTGCGCATAGCTGGGACCCTAACAGGAGCTGTCACCAGGGGTCAGAGGGGACTTGAGGACAACAGCAATTAAGAGGTGGTTACACTCTCCTCAAAATTTCCAATCCCCTAATCAGAGGCCTTGCTCCGGATGTAGTTTATCGTCATATCCAAGTCTCTGAATTTTATGTGAATGTGAAAAACCTAATATAGCTTGTCTATAATACGACCACGACTTAACAATACTAGTAAGTCAACGGTAGTCAAATATTTCAGTAAAGGGCATGATCCTGGATATATTTTATAGCAAATAAATGTTCTTCATTTTTTTTTTTGGTACAAGGCTACGCGAAAATGTTCAGGAAAACTACTTACCATCAAATAATTAATATGAAGATTTAAATACCGTGTTTTTTCCGTGTGTAGTTCAGTAAAAAAAACAACAACAAAAAAAAACTTTGGTGTATCGTAAATAATTTCTTGTCGTAACATGTACCGTAATACTTTGTGTATAATTTATATACGAATAGTGGGATATACATTTGTAATTTTTCCTCAGTTTTGTTGATTCCTATTGATGATATTACTGAATACCGTAAACAAAACTATTAGAATTAAAATCCATTTGTTCTTTGACCATGTGAAATCAGCATTTACCGTATATTGTAGTGTGCCTTGTTAGAATACTTTAAGAATATATAACGGAAAAGTTAAGATAAAATAAAATAGCCTTAAAGGTAAAGAATATAACAAATAAAAATAAATAAACAGAGAAAAACAGATTAAGGAACACAACTGTAACATATACGGTATAGATTCGTATCAGACAAAAGGGTTGCCATTTGCAAGCAATACCTCAGTGATGTAAACACACACGAATGTGTTTACATCGTTGAGATATTGCTTGGTAAAAAGCAAATTGGAGAAATGAAAAAAACAAAACATTGTTATTTCTTTATTTATATAAAGTATTTGTCAATTTTAAGTGGCACAAGTAAATGGCGTTCCGCTGTTTATGTAGTAACAAAAAGAAAGAATCTAGACTACTGGAGGTATGCTAAGGTTGCTTACCTAAATCGTTAATGTTAGTCAAAGGTAGTATGAGTTTTTCGGACTACTAGATTACGGCCACCTTAAATGCATGATTTTTAACCTCTTTAAAAATTATCTGTGTAGAATGCAACTTCCTAGATTTGGTATAGAAAAACCAATCCTAAAAAATTCGCACTACCATGAAGTATTTACGGTAAGCTGTTTAGTATTTTGGTTTGTTTGTTTTCAATAAGCATCGAAATCATTTATTAATTTTAAATTTCATGTATGTTATTGTTTATCAAGTGATACATTTAAATGTTTCATTATATGCGTTCTTGTAAATTTTTATGTTTATAATGACTAAATTTCTGTTTGCACTTAAAGGGCCGAAACGATTTTGCCATTCATGTTATCACACGGGAATATGGCTACCTTTCTTGGGAAGACTGTTTTCTTTGCCTGCAGTCGGAGTTACTACCCCATTCAATACGGGCAAAATTCTGCGAATTAGTCATCTGTAAGTTTTAAATTTTAATTATAATTTTGTTTTTGATATACAGTGATACCTCGGCTTAAGTCGTTTCGAGTTAAGTCATTTTCGAAGATACGTTGGTTTTCTTAAATATTATATGAAAAAATAAAACTTGCCTTAGGTCATTTTACTCGAGTTTACGTCGGCTGTTTAAAATATTAGAAACGTCAAAACACTAAAATAACAATAAGCACATATAAGTCATATTTAAATAAATTTAAAACTAATATTATTAATATTATATATATATATATATATATATATATATATATATATATATATATATATATATATATATATTTAAATTTAAATGAAAAACAGACCCCTTTAAGGCTCCATTGTAATAATTTATTTCATGAGAGAATTTTTTTTTCTCTGGATCTTCAGACTTCACTTTCAAAGATGAATTTAAAATTTACACTTTTGACGGGCAGTATTAAGCTTATATAAGTTGAATTAGAGGGTGACGAGGAATGGTGTGAGAGACATGGTCGAGTTTAGAGAGGGAAGGGAGAGTTTAAAATTTATCTTTTATATTTCTTTTTATTACAATACGTAATATTGAGGAAGGAGGGGGTAAGGATTAGACATTGACCTATTTAATCGGTCAACTTAACGGAAATTGTATGGGAAAAGAATAAAAGAAAAATGGAAAAAGAAAAAAGGGGGAAGTAAAGAGATAAGAGATCTACTTAGGGTTTTTGGAGGAAGGAGAGGGGTGGTATAACTTTAGCAATAAGATAAAAACAGATTTTAACGTTTGATAGTAATTTAATTGTTAAAAAAACTCTACAAAGAAAGTAAATTTAATGCTTGTTAGCAATTTAAATATTCAACTTCTCCACAAATAAATTAGGGATTTAATATAAGCCGAATATCATATTAATAAAAATAAATGAGTAATAGTAATATATTAATACTGTGAATGACTGTTAAGGTAAAATCTTTATCAGTTTGTCTAATATATAAACTTAACTTGTAGCAATTTTTAGATGGGTAATATATATATATATACGTATTTATATAAAATCAAAAAATATCATAATAAAGTATATTCAACAAATGTTCTTATTTCAAAGTCCTACTGACAGGAGGTACTTCTGGGTTGTTTTCCGCTCCAACAGTGATTTTTAAATTCAGACTTGTTTATATCTGTTGATGTTCTTTTCAATTATATACTCCCAATTCAAAGCGCGGAAAGCGTGGTCTACGTTTGTTCAGTTATTATAAAGGCCAGAATCATTGCTAGTGTTTGATAGCGGAGTCGCTGATCAGAGCTTGATCTTCCTTGACTGAGGTCGGCTTGGTGATGTGGTGTATCATATTAAATGCGCGAAACTTCCCGATGAACCAAGTCAATATGCAACATGGACGACTCCTTCCGGTGCCCTATTTAAGAGTGTATATATAGTAAAAAAAAAAGTGGTTTAGAAGACATTTTTGCCCAAAGAAAAGTCCAAGTGCTAATGCTAAGCGTAAGGCTATATCGTTGGACGATAAGGCGGACATTAATTATTTTTATTTAGAATACTGTACGTATATATAATAAATACTATAATAGGCAGTGGGTGCTGCTTATTTGTGGTTTATAGTTTGGCTATTTCGACTTAAGTGGTGACCTCTGGAACCAATTAACGCCATAGAGTGAGGTATATTTGTATAAGATAATGTTGTGATCTTAAAATAATACTTGATTCAAGCTAATGCTCATAATTGTTTTATTTTGGCGAAATTTTTTTAGAAATAACTCTATATGGGTGCACCTCTTAAACCCTAGCTGGGAAGTTGATCTCTCCTCTGATCTAGCCTTAACAACTCATTGGAGGAAAACCTTACTGGTCACGTTCAATATCTCGAAAAACAAACTAGTGACGTTCCATCGGACTTTCACCGATCGCGATGAAAAGATTTTCCTCAGGGAGCGCCTATTGAGATTTAAACTCAACCCTAGTAGGACTCATACTTAGGATCCATCGATAAAAAAATGGTGGAAAATGATCGGTTCCCTGTAATGATCTCGCAAGTACCTGACACCTTCTGATATCCTCAACATTTGCGAGAGCAAGATCAGGACGAAAATAGAGTACTGCTCCCATATATAGACAGGACCTACCCAGTCTTCACTTTCAAGTCTCGATAGAGCCCAAATTGTCTCTGCATTCTTGTGGGTGATGGACTATTTTCCACCCTTCGACTCCGTTCCCACAGACGAAATGTCGCAAATCTCTCGCTGCTCTATCGCTATTTACATGGAAAGTGTTCAGACGAACTACATACCTTAATTTCACCAGTTCTATCCTTTACCACTAAGAACTGACATGCATCACACAGTGTAGCGAACTACACTCATTCCCTTCGTCTTCCATTGGTGAGATGTAAGTTCCACTTGAACAGCTTCTTCTCATGAGCCACTGCTTTGTGGATCCAACTCTCAGCCTGTTCACGTCTAGGGTTAACCGTCATCTTCCCTACACATCCACATAAATTGTGTCTCTTAACCGTAACCCACTGCCTTAATTGGCTCTTGTCCCTTGTAAATAAATAATGAATCTTCTGAATAAAATAACAAGTTATAAAATCTCCAAAGTTTGAAAGGTTTTAGCTCTTAATGCGGACATGATTTCTCTGACTATAGGGTCATAGATGCGAACATATTTCAAATAAAAAAAATAATCACAAAAATTTTGAATAATTCAACATTTACATAACACACACACACACACGTCACAATGGGTCTCTGCTCAATTGCTTATAACACCTATGTAATCAAGTGAACAGTAAATAATTTTATTTGTATATGGCTCACATCAAATGAAGCCAGAATATAATTTGCACTTAGTATGACGTTAGACAAGCTAGGTTTATCGATGTGTTGACGGAGGTGATCACTTCCTGGAAGAAAGTGCCAATCGGCACCTCACAGGATGTTAGAGGTTGACCTCTACTGATCAACGTAATCGATACAGGTGCTCCTCAGGTGTCTCTGCGGGTGGGGAAAAATGTATGACCGGTAAATATATAAGCACCGTTCCGTGGGGAAGCACGAGAGAATCTAATTCGTCTTCGTTCCATGTTCTGGGGTTGCCATCAAGAAGCACGCCAACTTAGTTGAAGTCCGCAGTGAAATAAATAAGCAATAATATCGTGTTTTCATTAGTCGGTACGAAGACAACATTACATCTGGGCCTGGAGCGGATGTTGTTATGACAAGCCATAATAAAATCGTGTTGTGATAGTTTCAAAGAAACAACCCGGTGTCTAGAAGTTGGGTAAGGTGTGTGTGTGTGGGTGGGACTTTCATTTGGGATCAAATGACAGCTGGAAGTTCACGGGTTTAAATTGTCAGATCGGATTCTAGAAGCGGGCTGTGAGTCGCAGTCACTCTGTAAACCTCGAGTGCGTCAGTCGTTCAATTTTGAACCGACTGCTCGGTTGAACTCTCATATGACATATGACATATGGTGTCACACGCGCGCACACACACGCACATATGGTGCCACACACGCGCACACACGCGCACACACACACATACGCACATATGGTGTCACGCACACACACGCACATATGATGTCACATACACACACACACACACACACACACACACACACACACACACACACACACACGCAAACACACATTTTAAAACTAAGATTTACCGAAAAACGTCACTTAATATTTAAAGATAATCAATTATATCAAATGGCCGTGTAAAATAAATTCGAACAAATGCTGGTTCTTAAAAATATATTATTCCTGGTAAGGTAAAGTAATCTTCAAAGAATGACCGATTAAAATTTAGTGAAGTCTACGTCATGAAAAGCGTCTAAACCAAAATGGCAGACACTGATTTCCCAAATGGAACGTGCTATCCGTGAACAGAAAATAAGAAAATAGTCTGCATTCATACGAGACGGAGGATAGACTATCTGTTAGGCTTTTATCGTAAGCAAGACATTATAAGCATCGGAGGATGACCCCCACCCCACTCGTTTTTTATTATTGGTTCCTGCTTGAACAAGAGATTTTGATTGTTAGAAAACATTGCCACGCAGAAACGGAATAATATATCGGTCACATCTTCGTTGGATCAACCAGAAAACTTATCATTAACACGTCCGTCTATTTTTGCTCCTACTCTGTCTCAATTGAAAAGACACATTTTATTGCAAACTGATTTTTTTCTTTTACCCTGTATTTTTCTCTGCTCAATGGCTGATTTGAAATGAGTTAAACCAATTTTCGTCAACATGAAAAATGCGACAGAAGTGAACGAACTAAGTAAACCTGAAAATAAAAGGACGGAATTGTTTGCGATTTACTTTATTTTCTGGTGCACCAAATTGTTTTGCTTGAATGTGTGCCTTTGTATGCGCATGCGTGTGTTTACTTTTTAACTATTAATATATGACATCTACTCACGTATTCGCCAATCCGTAAATGGAGCCTCATCCAGTGCCACTACTACAGTCACCATCATCATCCCTAGATATGTATAACGATTGGATGACGAGTGTTTACTTAAAAATAAATAAATTACTATTCATCGTAAAACGTTTCACTGTATATGAAAATTGCCATAATTTGTGTATAATAGGCACCTTTAATTTTCAGTTAGAAATTTAGGGAAACTGTTTATTGTATAACAGATGCTAATATTTTAGAATTTCTAGCAGTTAAATGTAACCTCGATTTAATATTTTTTCGAATTTATTTCCGATTCTTATCAAACAAAACTGGTATATATATATATATATATATATATATATATATATATATTGTCATCCACAGGACAGACTGTTTCGCTGTATCACAGCTCATCAGTGTGGCTAGACATCCGGTTGCCTCTAGCTAAGAATGAAACCCGGCTGAATTGTCGTCAGTCGGAGATTTTAGCCCTAAGCCTTTGGCACACGGCAGGAAGAAGGTGAATTTAAGCGTATTTATTTTTAGATAAAACAGTGATATATATATATATATATATATATATATATATATATATATATATATATATATATATATATATATATATATATATATATATATATATAAGAATCATATGCAATCATATATCTAAAATATATAAATATATATACATACATACACACACATAAATATATATTTTTATAAAAAATAATTCCAAGATGATAGAATTCAGGTGGAACTCAATGTCCAGGACACAGTAAGGATATAATAAAAAGGCTTAAACACTAATATTCCATGGTCATAATTTATTCCACTGGAATCGTAAATACGATCCAATTCATCAGACCTACAAATTCAAATTTTTCTTTTTCTTTTTGAATTTGTAGTTCTGAGGAATTGGTTCGTATTTAGATAAAAAGGAAATTCTTTCAGAAATTGGCCAAAGTTAATTTCGGAAGAAATATAGTCCACGCTTTCGACTTTATTAAGTCATCATAATGGTAGGTAGAGACAAATGGTGAGTTTTGTAGAACAGGTGAGTGTGGTGACATGGGCAAAGTGTGGTGTGGAATGTGTGTGTTTTGCTTTCCACTTACGTTGCAACTCTCTTTGCCCACGTCACTACACTCACCAGCTTTACGAAAGTCACCATTTGTCATGAACTGCCTTGATAATCATAATTTAGATTATATTTTGAAATAGAACATTCAATGTTTAAAGCAAACATATGGATGGTCACACAAAAACTATTGGCAAAAAAATTTCACATTAGAAAATATTCTGAACAGACATTTCATTGATTAGTAGTTATTTCTCTACAGAAGAGCAAATCAGAAGTGGACATTGATACTACGTCCGTTGTAGATATTAGAATTGATGAAAATCTATCTTGCCACCATTTTTGATCGGACGACCAGTGTTCTTCAACAACCGTATGTCAGCATTAACAAGCCACAATAAGTGGATCTAAGAGGCTGACAGAGGGGCACAAATCATTCTGCATTTACTGATCAGAGCTTTCCATTATATGTAAAAAGATTTTAGGAATCTAACAGAGCATCTCTGAAACAGTCGTGGTAAAATCATTTTAAAAAATCTGCATCAGGAACAGAGTGGTTGACAATGAAGATGAAGTCCTTTAATGAAGGTCCAGACTATTCTGTGGACGACGTCATAGAAAATAAAGATATTGCTTAAGCTGACATCATAGAAGAAACTTCAATGGCGTCTATCGTTGACACGAACAACAGTGAAATGGGCTGAAATGTACTTAATATCTAAGGGAAAAATTCTTTTCTTTAATACAAAGATAACATCTTAAACTATTTTATTGGACATCAGTTTGATGACGATTAATCCTTAATTTGAAGAGATAAAAATTAAAATGTGAAGTCTGTGCCACAAAATGGCAGTTCTTGAAGCAAACTTCTTACATTCGGATAAAATGAGGAGAATTTAACTCAGAGGAATCGACTCACCACTGCTCAATTCAAAACCCGCATAGTTGTTTATTAGGATACTTTTGTCTCATTTTCCGTCAGTATATAAACAATAATGAAGATAATATATAAATTAAACTAGCTTTTATTTTTATTTAATAAACCGAACGCACATTTCCGGTAACTTATATATAATTACCATTTGTATAACAAGATTTATTGAAGGTCAATGTTTTCGATTTTACACTTTCATTCATCTTGGTCTATCTGAAATTGAGCATCCTTGAACGTTCAAGGAAACTTGAGCGTTCAAATTTCCTTGAACGATCAAGGAAACTTGAACGTTCAAGTTTTTTTCTTGAACGTTCAAATTTCCTTGAAACAAAGAAACTTGAGCGTTCAAATTTCCTTGAACGATCAAGGAAACTTGAACGTTCAAGGAACGATCGTTCAAGTTTTATCCAGAATGAATATCTCAAAGTCTTTAACGATCATTTGAATACCGATAACTCATAAAATTACTTTTATCTATCAGTGCATTGGCGTCTATTTTGTTTATAAAAATCCCAATATGTCGGCTTAACATTATTTGGTTTTCAGGTAAGTTAAATGGCCGTCTATAAGCATTTTAACAATGTCTGTTATCTATTTTACGTTATTTTCCTTTTTCAGGTTTGTTTATTGATGTTAGCAACAACTGTTCAGTTCTTGACCATCCAAACATCTGCTTTGTGTACGAATATGTCGGATCAAAAGATTCAGATAGGGAACAAAGCCAATATGTAAGTAATCATGGTTTCTTGTTCTTGCTAAGTTTTCGGCATGGAAATCTAAGTGAATGTGCTGGGTGTTTAATCTCAAATTTAGAAAATGAATAAATCTAGCAGTTCTGGTGAAGACATAAAAATTCAAGCCAAGCCCTTGAATTGCACCACCGTTGTTCTAACCAGTTAATATCGAGGATTATTTAATATTTAATTATCTTGGGAAAAAAACTATGATTCCGTTTCTTTTCTCCATGGCTATGGGTTAAACAGCAGGATAGACTTTGCTCTGTAAAATTGGGTGGAAACCAGAAGGAAAACTGAATTTCAGATCGTAGAGAAGGCAACGGTAAGAAACTTTATTATTTTTCCCATTGCTGCATGGCAGTTCACAGATACCAAGAAAAATCTGTAGAGAGTGATGATGATGATGATGATGATAATGATGATGTACATGATTTTGATTTTTACGTCTTATCAGCCTTTTGAAGATTATTTAAAAGCACAAAATATTTTGGGATTGTAAAATTTGTGGGGTGGGGGAGATGATAATGATTTATTGATACGGGTCCTACTATTTAATCCATAGCTGAAGGGAGATGATGTGGACTCATATTCTTAAAGGTATTTGCGCGTAAGTGAATGTAATAGACCCGACTGGAATTGGCCTACCGATTTCCAGTTGTTAGCCGTTATACATTACTCCAATCTCACATCCAAGCTTACAGCAGCCGATATTCCCTAGTGGTCACCCATCTAAGTACTCTCGTACTCTCGCTAGATTCGACGTAGCTTAACTTCGGTGATCAGACGAGGACTGGTGTTTCAACGTGCTGTTGAAGAGAGATCACATTAAAACGATACTGAAGTAGCCATTTTAACACACTCGTTGGTGCTTAATAGACGGGAGGCATTTATCTTTGTGGGGAGAACTTTTCCAAATTCCATGGATCTAATTAAGATCCAGGGAATTATGAATTTATGAATTTCGCAAATTTTAACTCTTTAAATTATTTTCCGACCCTTTTTTTTTTTACTAAAACCCCACCAACACCATTTATTGAGAAAAATCCGGCCGCCCGATTATTAAACTAAAAAAAGAACTCTCGCATTAGATACCAGAGAATATTTATAAGAAAAAAATCTTTAATCTATTCCCACCAGTTTTTCTCATTTTAGTTGTTATAGCCACACTTCGTCCATAGTAACTTTCTTCAGCTATCTGTTGCATAGAGTAACAATAGTTAGAGTAGAAGTGGATTCTTGCTTTTCCCAATAGCATTAGGAAGAAGTGAATACAGACTACAGCCAGAGTTTGAACTCTATTCGCCGATTCCGTCTAACTGCACATCCTGGCCTATGAGTTAAGCATCGATATATTGATGAAAATCTTGCTCTGAAATATAAAGAAATATGTTTTAATAGATACAGACTGTAATTAGCAAATTACTTGCATTTTTTTCCTGGTTGCATATAAACACGTTTATTATTAGGAATGAGAACAAATAATAGAAATTTTGATTGTTGAGAAAGCCAACAAGACAAATAAAAGCAGAAAAGAGTTCACATATTTTAATAAATGCACTTATTAATAACGTCATCATTCCTGCATCAGTAAAAAAAAATATCAATTTGTTCGTCCAGTTTTTAAACTAATTACTGACTTTGAAGAGGTCACCATTTTAAAAAAAATACATTGGCTGATGAACTCACTTATTATGAATAAAAGTGTGTGTATCCCCAAAATATAGTAGAACAATTAGCCGTTAAACTCCTAGATAAGTTAGTATGATCAGTAGCAAAAAGGTGGATTTGAATAACAAAATGTGTCTTTCAAAATTTAAACAAAGTAGTCAGGAGCAAGAAAATATCTTTAGAGGCATAAAATCAATGCTGAATTTGAGTATGAGTATGCCATGTGAGTGTAAAATATGTTAAATATAAGAGTTCTTTTTGTTTTCACTTTCGTCGTTGCTCACATGTTGAGTCCATGATATTCTCAGCAACCTTCTGCCGAACTACATTTCTATTGCTTCAAGCCTCTTCATCTGTGAAGAGATTGTCTAGATTCACTGCCATATAGGAGGAATGATATAATGTAATAGGTCACTACTCTTTTCATTGTTTCTAACGAAATTTTCCTGTTTCTTAATACTTTGCTTAGCTTTTGGAAGATGTATTTCGCTATCCCAATACGCCTTCGAATTTCGATGTCACACTTTCCGTCCTCTGTTAAAACACTTGAGCTGTTCTTTCAGTTGTTTATTTTCGGTTTCGATGGCTAAAGTGAGTGCATTTAGGATGTAAACTGATTGATCTGGTTTATGCCTGTTCTCCCATTGGTCGTTCTGAATTCTCTTGGCAGCTTGAACTGTTTCGGTTGTTGAAACGTTTGTGTCCCTATAAATATATTGTGATTACTAAACCTGATAAAGTGTCTGGGGTTTCTGAATTATGATGTTTTTTTGATCATTTTACCCCAAGCAAGGAGATAATACCACTAAAATACAAGAGCCACTAAAGCACAAGAGGAAGTGAAAGAGAATGTGGAGACTTCTTTAAGAGAAGGAACCGGAAATACAATCTTAAACAGGAAACAAGGGATAAACCTCTAATCCTGTTCAAAAGACAGGGAATGAGTTTGAACCGGGTGATTCACGTCAATAAAAATGCCTTATATTAATACAAATAGTATTTGATAGCATTTTTATTGAATCTATTCAAAACCTGTTCAAGCTTTGAAGTTATACCTTCAGTTGAACACTAACTATGAGTCTCTTCCCTCGTATAAACAAACACACACACACGCACACACACGCACACACGCGCGCGCGCACACACACACACACACACACACACACACACACACACACACACACACACACACACACACACACACACATATATATATATATATATATATACATATATATATAAAAGCTACAGCATTATAATAAGGGAAAAGACACTTCATAATAGAAAACATTAAAATGTGTCCCGAAACATTGCAAACGCAATACCCATTCCAATTTATGCACTAGTGATGTGGAATTTTAAATAGTCTTGCGTGTGTTCACGTCATGTCGCTTTTTAGTAAGGATTTAATTGATATAGATGCGTATAAGTTCGAGAATAATCTAAGTCTTATTTGTTTTACTTATCATGGTGACCTTATTAATTACATGAGATAATCAAGAGATGTGTGGGTAGTATAACGGATATAAATTGGAGTCAACGACCTGGGTTCAAATTCCAGATTAGTCTGTTGCGTACACTTTCGCAGAAATGCCCTTAGGGTAGGGATAAACTCCTTTCATCTCTCAACTCGATTTGGGTTAGAAAGCAGTATAGACTAGGTCGTATAATCTTGGATGGCAAAGAAAAATCTGAATTCCAAAACCGTGAAGAAGGCAACAGGAAACCACTTCACTATCTTTCCGAAGAAAATACGGCAATTCACAGATAAAGAAAAAAAATCGAGATACCCAAAGACTTGCATAAAATTTCAGATCTAATGCGAACTTAACAATTAAGTATCAACTCGCTGTGGTGAAGTGGTTATTATAATTTCTTGCAGACCATTAATAAATCGTGAGTTTCATATTCCCTGCATGCCACACGTCTGGTTATTAAATAGCAAAAAGATACCAATTGTACAAATACAATAAAACTAAAATTTCGATCGAGATATTAAAAAAATGTTTCATTTATTCTTCGCCCTGATAACAAAATGTTAATATTTGTCCATCCGGATATAAAATGATATGCATGTTATGTTTTATTATATAGATCCAATAATAATTCTAATTTTTTTGTAATATTTTCTTATTAATATTCTTTCTTTCAGTATATTTTTATCTTTTATCTCTTTGTCCATTTTTACGAATTCTTTGAAAGTTTCTTCCTTAATGCAACGACCATTCATTTTCCATTTCAGTTACCGACTCATAATCCAAAAAATCATTTTCCATGCCTTCTTAATTCCTAAAATATTAATTTTAATGTCATTTACCTGAACACATTCACAGTTCTGTGCTTATCGCTTTTGCTTTATTATTTCAATGAATATATTTATATATAGAATTTTATTTATAAATTTTTTACTATTTTTGTCAACGTTGATATCGAAATCTGCTTTGAATTGCCTCCTCAATAATTCAGAGGTTTAATTAAAATTTAAAATAAGTCTGTAAGGAATAAAATGCAAATTGTCAGTCATCGAGTGACGTTCATAAAATTAGCGTATTTGATGGTGTATAAGAACTCTCCTTGATGCACATATTTCGTAAAATGCGGCTCTTATACACGAATTTTGGGTATCAAATTTTGCGTTCAACTAAAATGTCTGAAATTCCAACCGAAAGTATTCATGCTCGTTATCGGAAAGAAAATTTTACGTTGACACCAGTTCATCATGTTGAGGTTGAAGTTTCAACCTTTCGAAATTGTACAACTTAGTCACATACTCACACACACACACACACACACATATATATATATATATATATATATATATATACAAAGAAATAATCACATAGAATCAATCAAGTATTAATGCGATTATTGGCGACATCCATCGCTAGAAACATAATATAACCATTAAAATACTGTTAATCCATAGTGAAGTGATCCTCGTCAATAAACTTGATGTCTGTAGTTTTCAGTTTATTTGATGTTAAATGCTACTACTTACGAATAGTCCTCTATTCATCATCAGGCATGTGTTTTTTTCCTTATAAAATCAAAAAACTTGGAGACGAATTACTTGTATGTCGCACTATGGATTAACAGTATTTTAATGCATATATTATGTTTCTAGCGATGGATGTCGCCAATAATCGCATTAATACTTCTGATTGATTCTATGTGTGATTATTTCTTTGTATGTAAATTATATGCTGCCTAATGCTTTATGTTTATATATATATATATATATATATATATATATATTAACAGGGTGTATAAAAAATAAACATACGTCTGCAAATCTTTCGTTTTTGAGTTATTAAATTTAATGTATACAGTAGACGTTATTAAATGTCCAATCCGAAATACAATTCCAAAATACTTTTATAAACTTTGGGGGCGGGTTCCTGACATCTTCTGCAAACTTTCTTTAAACTTAATAACTCAAAAACGAAGGATTTGCGGACATATGTTTATGTACACTTTTGTCCTTGTTTTGGTGTGAGGAACGCACCCGCAAATATGTTAAATTATTTGATATAGCCTTTATATATATATATATATATATATATATATATATATATATATATAAATTAAAAATATAAACTTTCTTTACATTATTCGGACTATTGTCCTCATCTTTGTCGCCATATTCATTACAACGTTTCGGTTATTTAGTGGATACTTTTTTTTCTTCAGGTGGTTGGAATGTCAAACTGAACCCTTTATTTCGCTCACTGTTAGAAAGTTCTAGTTCCACGTGCCATGTTTTAATGGATGTCAGTTATCAGTTATCTCCTGTTAATTTCCATCTGAAAGTTCTCCACTGCTTTAACCGGGTATTGAACTTGGGCATCAAACATAACACATGGAACTAGAACAGTCTACCCCAGTGAGCGAAATAAAGGGTTCAGTTCGACATTCCAACCACCTGAAGTAGGCCGGAACGTACAACGGCCGAAACGTTGTAATGAATATGGCGACAAAGATGAGGACAATAGTTCGAATAATGTAAATAATATACATAATACCTCATCTCAGAAATATAGACAGACTATAAAACTTTCGTTATACTTATCGAAGATCTTCAATACATGTAGCGAACTTTTTAGATTATTAATCATTATTGTTCTAGGTATCTAAT